GCAAAAATGAAGATATCGCTTGGAAACTTGTAAAACAATATGAAAATGATGTGAACTTTTCAAAGCACACGCCTACACCGCTCCCACATCTCTTTATACAAAGTCCTGAACAACTTCGATTTGCGGACTTTTTACTTGTTACTCATAAAGTACAACACATACGTCATGTAAATTTCCACTTTTATTCTAAGAATAGAAAAAATTAAACGCACACACCCATTATTATTGAGTACGAATATATAGCCCTTTCTTCTTTTTTTAGGCGTTAGATATGAAAGATTCGGGCATGACCGAATATAGTTTTCTTACATAGTTTTTTATACCCTAGATCACTTGGTGTTTGGTTGCAATATATTAAGTTAGTACGTATGTATCACCTAGAAGGTAGATCCAATTTTATTATACCGATCAATCCAGAATCATTTTCTAAATCGATCTAAGGCTGTCTGTCCGTCTGGTTTGCTCAAGCTGCAGGTCATCATTTTTTAGATATTTTGATGCAATTTGGCGCACCAACATGTTTTGGCCCAAGGATAAACACTACTGATGAATGGCTTAGATTAATTCACTTTTCGATCACTGCCCATCTAACACTCTATTCTGAAAATTTGTTATATGAAAAAAATTGCGACTTTTAAAATTTCTTGTCAATAGTGGCTAAGTAGTACTATTTCGACTAGTACTATTTCACACCGATATTCTAAATTGGTGTGAAAACTTTTGACTGGCTGGAACAATTTTTTGAGCTCCATCTCGTTTCTTCGGAAACTAAATCTTTATATGTTAAAAAAGTCGAATTTCCAATATTTCATGGTGAAAATTGACTCATAACAGTAAATCGACAAAAAGATTTACATTACCGAATTTGGACCAAATAGAGCCATTTTTTGGATACCACCGCATATAAGAATTCCCGTGAAATGTAAACCCTTATGCGCCAAAAAGCCTTAATTGTTAACTTTTGTAATGGAAATTTGTTCATGATAGTAATTAAGTTAAAAAACTCAGTGGACCTAATTGAAATCACATAGGTCTATTCCTTGATTCTAATCTATAAAAGACGTCTCGTGAGCAGTAAGCATATCGGAAAACGAATTAATTTTTAATATTTTATGATGAAAATTAATTCATAGTAGCGTTTTAGCAAAAAAATTAACGGTAGGGAATTTGGATCCAATAGGTCTGTATATATTTTGCCCCCCAACATATATAGGCACTAATACGAAAAGCAAAATCTTATTTGGAGAGAAAATGTAACTTATCAATATGCGGGCTATCATGAAAATTATGGGTTTGGATGAAAATAATGCGTACTTTTCGTGATATTATTATATTACAGTAGTTTGGCAACCCTGCACGGGCGCTGTGCTCGTATTTTTTACTTTGCGAGTAAAATTTTAGGTTTTACTTTTTTATTTTATTTCTTTGTACGGTTTCAAAACCCAAACAATTAGAAAAGAGCTTAAATTTATTAAAATGTATTGAGCTTTAGTTGTAATTTACATTTATCGCGTTGTTCTGTGTGTTGATGTAATTTTCGTTTTTGCGAACAACACTTGGTGGTCTCGTTAAAAAGTGTTTTTCGTGTTTTTGCTTGTCGCTGTTTCCAAACATTTGCCTTAGTTTTTTCTTCTTATTTACTGTGTTTTTAATAGTGTGAGGTTTGCGCGCTAACTTAAGAGAACAGGCCCTGATTCTGAGGGATTCGTTAGTTCTTGGCTTTGCGAGCGTTATTGTCACGCGAAATGTATAGGTGTTACCGGTCGTGCTGCAGACGCAGCCCTAGATCTTTCGAAAGGATTACGTTGGTCATGTTTCGACTGTAGTAAGCGGGTCATTGACTTTTAGTTAAGATTTTCATGAAGGCAAGGAATGTGTTTTCTGATTTAAATAAAAAACTCTTGACATTGTGCGAGAAATTCGAAAAAATTGAAACGATATTCGATAAACGTCGCTACTTAGAGTAATCATCTTCTCGTCTAGGATGTGAAAGACAAATTTGTAGTGTGGCGAGCGATATTTCACCTCCGTCTTCGCCTAGATCGCCTACATTTATCCATGGTGCTCGTCATCATTCCTTTTCGTCCTCATCGTCAACGATAAAAAATGTGTATCTGTCACTGGCGAATCCGATTAATGTAGCGAGTGTTCCATCCTTGCCTACAAAGAACGTTAGCATTTCCTCCATCTTAAACGCAGCAGATAATAAAAATATTACAAATAACTCGGAAAGCTCTCCTCCTCTCACCTATGCTTAGGGGTCAAGGGTATCTCCTCTAATGTTGTGCCTTTCAGCCTATTCAGTCCATATCTCCAAAAGATATTAACTAAAATAATAAAATATCCTCTTTCCTTAGTTGTTCGGCTGTGTCTGCTCGGCGTCATGGGCTGGGAAAGTAACACAGGCTGCACAAGCAAGTGTAACCATTTCATCTATTTTTTTCCAACTCCAAATTTTCTACTAGTAGTTCCTATCGTTCCTAATACGGATGACGTCTGCTTGGGGGCAATATTCGCGTCAAGACGGGCGCCTTACACTGCTGAGGATAATTTAAACTCTTACCTTTCTGGAAAAAGCCCATCCGTCAATTTAAAGCATCTTAGCATTTTCAAATGGGTTCCATCTTAACATAAAGCTATCTAGTCTTTAAGGTGTTAGTTCCGACTGAAAACATGTAAATTTTGTTAAATAAACCGTTGGATCCTTAATAAAGGAATTCGTTTCTCGGGATCTTCCCTGTAATATTAACTCTGTAATTCTTTCTCGTTCCTTTCTCAAGGAGCGATTCATTCAATATTGAGTACTTCATGGACTCACACAAGTTGAAAAACGCAGATTCATTCATCGATTTAGGGATTTAAAGCTAGGTCGACGCCAGGTTTCATCAAGAGGTGCTCCAAAGAGCTTAAGGATGCTTATCCAAAAAGGCAAAAAGACTTGAATATGTCTCCGTTGTGTGGTCTCCCTCCTATAAATGCTATGTAGGTTCAATAGAATCCGCTCAAAAGCAATTCTCGTTGTTTGTCCTTAAGAATTTTGGTTGGACTCCGCTTGTCTCTCCGTCTCTTTAAGAAAATAGATTGCTTCTGTTAGCCTTGCTATCATTTGAGAAACGTGGATTTATTTGCGGTGCTTCCTTTTTAATTAAGTTAATAAATGGTACTATCGATTCGCCCACATTACTTGTCGAAATAAACTTTAATGTGCCGAATCGTTTCTATAGAAATTTTATCTTTATAAAGCTTAGTCAATGTAAACATAGTTATGAGCTTCCGATTTTAATATCTCCCCGTGAATTAAGTTATTCACATTTAAAGACTTAAATTATGCCTATGATTACCTTTCGAGTTTATCACTGCAGCAGCGATATACGCCCATCATCGGTTGCGTTGTTCCTACATGAATGCATGTTATGCTGATGATCAGAAAATTATTTTTTATTTTCTTTAACATCGTTTAGCGCTACTTGCACAGTGTAAAAGAGAGTAAATGGCGTCTAGCTTTCAGGAATATAATCGGATATAACTCTGGACAGCGACTTCTTTTCTTACAAGATACTACATTAGAATGTCGGCCATTGCTTATTACTGCTTATTATATATTTGTGGTCTCAAATTAAACATCAAATGTTGTGTTAATAGAATAAAAATCCTTTTCGAATTCGTTAAGACATATTACATTATTAGTCGAGTTGAGTGAGTTCAATAACACTATGGCAATACTAAACAAATTTTTCATCCACTTTTAGTTATAAGTCTTTTTGCAAAACATATGACAAAATATATTGGTAACAAAGCTACTTTTTCGTAGTCAATAAAATGTTGCTTTCTATGACCTTGAATTTTGTCTCGTTGAAGCGTATCATGATAAAAGGCTAGGCTAGGCTCTCGAACGAATGTCACAATATGCTCTACTAAGAGTTACGAAAGATAGATAAGTCTGTGTAGGATGTACTAACAACTTATGCAGCAAGTAATGCAGCAAGAGTTTCATAATCAGAGGCTATTTGCATTTTGCGTGTATATGTTTTAAAAGAACCTCTTTTTGTCATTCTTTAACATAAGTGTAGTATTAATCATAGAAATCATTGCGGTTTGAAGTTTCGAACAAAAGTTTTAAGGCTAGTATAAGTGAGTTTTGCTTCTTTGCTCAAAGAGAGATATGTTCGTTAGTCTAATGAATCTTAAAATTAAGATCAAATAGAATACTACTTCTACATGCCAGTATAGGGTATCTCCAGTAAATATGAATTGTGAATATAGGAATTTACTCCAAAAGGAACTCCAAAAGATTCCAATTTTTTTTTGACTTTTTCTTGTAACGTACGTGATAATAGGACTAATGTGACTAATGTGAGATGTAATGTGACCGACGCCTATTACTAAAATGATATAAAATTCGAAAATATTATAATAAAAAATTATATAAATATCAACAGGATGTTTTCATTCCGAATAAACTAAAGAACAATAACAGTATGACTCCGAATTTTCGTGCGGAGTAAGCTAAACACGTACACATGCTGCTGAGCTTTTCATTCAAGAATTTGCAATGAAAATTGAGCAGGCGCTGTATGTGTTTAAACTTTAGACACTATAAACATTGCCGAATATATCTAAAGGTTTATGAAGTTAAGTTATTCAGTTTACTGTGGAATATCAAGGGAAACGGTTCATCAATAAAATTACTTTAAAAATATTAATAAATAATTTTTTAAGCAATATAAGAAAAAAAAAAAAAAAAAAAAACAAAAGAAAAGAAGCCAAATGCCGGTTACTTACCAAAGGCCTCACAACAACGACAACAAAATAAATGTATTAAATTAAAAATAAACTTGACGAGAAGAAAAGCGAAAAATAAATTACTTGAACAAAACAAAATGGAAAGAAATTAAGCAAAAATTCTTTTTGAAAATAAAAAAAAAAAAAAATAAAAAAAATAAAAAAAAAAACTAAAAAAAAAGAAGTTCTTTAGATATATAATATTTATCGAATAAGCGAATTTTCATATTTGTAAAAAAATGGTTTGAAAAAGTATTAAAACGGATGAAATGAAATATAAATTATTGCAGGGTTAAGCGTAAGCAATATTTAGTATAGCGAGTATTTGACTAGAATCTATTTTATGGACACATTTTTTTTGTGTTTCTTTTTTTTTTTTTTACTATGCAACTTAATGATGTGTGTGCATGTATATAAACCGCAGCAATTACTTTATTAATACACAGTTAGCTTTGTGGCATGCCATACCAGTATTTACGTGAAACTTATTTTAAAATAACGTACATTTTAAATCATCAACGTAGTCGACGTAGTTGTTGCTTCGTGTAAATAATAATATAATAACAAAAAATAAAAAAAAAAAACAGAAAAGCAAACGAAAGTAACAAAAGTAGATGTGTGTGCATAAATTTTTACTATGTTAACCCCAATCCCCACTGCTGTCACTGTAGAAAACATGTAATTGTTCGTAATGTGAATTTAAATGAAAAGAATTCTTTACGTAGTTAAAAAAAAAAAAAAAAAAATCAATATTTGAGTTAATTTACTGAACTGCAAAATAATACTACATTACGGCGCACAGGTAAATATATAGTCTGTTGTGGTCAATTCTCCCCTTTTTGCTCTGGCATCTTTTACGTTATATTAATAATTAAGTCGTGGAATTCATTTTAAGCCCATCAACGTAAGAAGGAGTTAAGCTAAATTTCCGTTTGCAACTCCCAGGCTTACAGAAAGCAAACAGACTAAACTTGTCTTTGCCCTGACTTGGTAAAGCCCAAGAAATGGTACGTACGCGTTTGCTTATTCGTCTGGTTGTTTGCTCAGCAAACTAAATTTGCTAACCGATATTTCCAGTTTCGGTTATTAAAAATTTAGCAAAACTTATTCAAAATAGTCCGCGCACTCTTTGTGAAATCCTAGAACCAACAAAAAAAAAATACAAAAAAAAAAACAAGACGGGCGGAGTGATATTTTAATTAAATAAACTTATATGCCGTTCGTCAATTTTTAAAGAATGAATAAAAGATTATTTATATGGTTTTGCTCGACCTTTATAACCGATCTTAGGTTCCATTGTATTAATAAACGAAAACTTTCTTAATAATGATACAAAAATTTCATTTAAGTTGAATAAATACCTTATGAATCGAATTTTCGGCTCATCAAGATAATGATTTTATTTAGCCTTTGGGTCGGTCGCCTGTTCATAGCGAAACCGTCAATCTCCGTTCAAATTGCGAGAGTAAAGTGAAATTTGTACGTAAGTTCTTTCTTTCTAAATGGGTTCACATTAAATTTGAATGCCAGCAGGATTCGCTCACATAAGCTATAGGCAACGACAAGCCTTATTATTCATAATCCATATCGATGAAAATATTATCCAAAAAATTTTGCGAAATTATGTAAAAATTCTTTCAAGTTTAATTCCGATCAAACCGTTGACGCGTCCATAATGAACCGAAACGTTTTACCATTCTTCAGTTGAGAGGCGCTCAACATTAGCCCGAAGAGATTACAAACCTCTCTCAAATTTTTTTCGTTAGGGAAAAATATTAAATTAAAAAAAAAGGTTAAATTTATTTCTTTATCTTAATCGATTTTTACTTAAAGAAAAATTTATGCAGATTGTTAATAAAAAATTATTTTGCAATTTTTGCTTTTTTTTGAAAGGAATACAATTTTGCTTAGCGGCTTATCTCCGTATTTAAAAGTTATTTCAGTACATATAAGAAGTGACCTATATTCGTGGTTGAAGCCTGTCCCGACTATTCGTCATCTACGACATACACGAAAATAATATATTACCCTATACTCTACACGCCTTATGGTACAAGAGCATATTAGACACATCTTCTATTGTATCGATGGATTCAGAAAAGGGATTCTAAGCCTATCTATCCGTCTGTCTGTCTTGTGTTGTTGTAGTTAATCTATTGGCCGCAATATTTGAGATATTTTGATGATTTAGTGCACTCACGTATTTTGGCCCAAGGACGAACGCTACTGAAAATGGCTTGGATCGGAACATTTTTTCGAACCCCTTTCCTTATGACGCCTGATTTTGAAAAGCCGTTACTTGAATACCTTTACGATCGTGTAGGGTCCTTAATGGTGGTATTATATCCATCACCGGAGGATAAGGGGTACATTCATTTTGCCGAAAAGTTCGCAAGCGTGTCCCTTTGTCCGCAAAAACGAAGCTATCGATTTCAAATTCGGCAGAAACATCGCAAGACCTTGCACGCAAGTTGGTACGGGACAAATTGATCACAGCACAACCTAATCTGAGTCCACCTCAATTTTCAAAAGCAATAATAAATATTGGTTACTTGCTCATTATTCGTAAGCCATAGCAGAATAATGTGCAAAAATTTGAATGTATATTCTCTGGGCGGGGCTGCAGTGCTTGCAAACAAATTCATCTGCCCAATATTATTGCGTATCCAAACTAATTTCTTTCCAAGGTGTATGCATTCTTTGTCGGTTTCAAATGTGGAATGCACCTAACCATGTTCGTGAATTCGTCTGCCCTCGTGCCAAACTATGTTGTGTTTGTGGCAAACATTTTCCAATTCGCAAAAAAGATCTACAAATTTACAAAAAATACTTGAAAATGACGCAAACGGGGTAAAGAAGTTATCTACAACGCGCAGACGTTTATGCAGCCCACATTGAGAGAACCTTCGTTTCCGGTACATAATTTCAGAAGTTAAAGCAGTTGTACGATCTCCTTCGATTCTTATATATCCGATAAATTTCCAAGAATTCTATGCCTAAACCCGTTAGTTTACAAAGTTATTTAACTAATACGGTTCACGATCGTGGACATTTGTCTAAAGAATTTAATTTATTAACGTCAAACAATTTTAAAAATCGCGAAATCAATAATCATAAGATGGAATAAGAATATTTCCAGTTTTTGTCCTATTATATCGAATGCAAATGGTTAACGGTTGATCTATTAGCTTGCAGCCGGGTTTGCTTATACGTGGATAGAGATTGAATGGTCAAACTCAAATTTCTCGGCTGCATAAAATCTTCATCGCTGGCGCTACAAGGCATTTTAAGATTGTGCGGATTTATGTAACACCGCAAAGGACCCAACACCCAATCTTTATTATAGTCATTTTTTGAATCGATTTAGTTTTGCCTATCTATCTGATGTTTGTCCATGCATGTTCTTATTCAACGTACCGGTTCCCATTTTTGAGTTATATTGACAAAACGTGGCAGACTGACATGCTTTGGCCAAAGAACGAGCGCTTATGAAAATTGCTTAGATCGAACAATTCTTGTGATCACTTCCCACATACAACATTTTGTTTTGAAAAAGTTGTCATATGAAAAGACTTTGCTATTTTTTAAATTTCCCCAGAAAAATCTTTAAGTAATAGTACTAAGTTGATGAGAAAAATCTGGATCCGATCTGCCAAGAAAGTCTGAAGAGAAAAGTCTCTCTCTCTCTCTCTCTTTGATAGTGTACGATAAAAATTTGAAATAAAATTTGACTGCGCCATGTTTTTGGACTAAAAATATGACATGACGCGGAAACAGGTTGTAATCCTCGCCGTTTTTTCACGAAAGTGAAGAAAGAAATGTTTTAGTTAAAGTGACATAGGGTATTTGAGAGAGCACTTTACCCGACACCAAGGTCGTTGTTTGTTTTTTATAAGCTGTGATCGAGGTTTCTTCTCATCATGTTCTGCATATTTTTTAAGATATCTCTTTTGTCTTCTGGCCTCTAATTTACGTATATGGATGCCCGGGATCCACACTGATACTGGCTTACGGTTATTGTTTGGTACCTATTAACTATATGAAAATATGTTCGTTTTTTATTAAGATACTCATCTGAAACGAATTTTTTTATGCTATACGTAATTTAGTAAGCTATCGTCTTAAAGTGTAAACCATAGAGTTTTTGCGTTTTAAATATGTGTAGATTTGTGTCAAAAAAACGCTATTCACCGGAAACTTTTCTGTTTCAGCCTTATTCGAAGGATTCTGAATTGTAAGGAGTGACGAAGAGCGGGTGTCTTGTGGTATCCAAAGTCCAAATAAGCGCGCTGCACAGTAGGGCGAATCATTAACATCTACGATAAGGTGGAATATTCTGAGCGGTTCTATTTGGTCGCGATGTATAGTTGGAAAGGAGTAGATGGGATGGACGATCAGCCTGGTGTGGTCAGTCAAATGAAACCATCACTACGTCTTTGCGTTTCGAACCTGGAATATTGTATCTTCTGCTTTGTTATCTGTAGACGATACTCTGTCCGATTAACACGGGTTCCAATAGATGATTTATAGATTGTTCGAATGTCGTTTAAAGTCTCATGACGATACCCAAATATGCGACACTTAAAAGTCCATTTGCTCCTTCCGCACCTAATTCATACTCTGCATAAGGGATGAGAGAAGTCATAGCATAGCCTACGATTGCACTATCATTGAATGAAACAGATTTTACGATTTTTTCTTAATGTCTTTTCAATTTTACTAAAAAATTTCCGGATACTTGTTCATGTAACTAACCCGTATTGCTTTAAGACACCGCATCTTACTTTGTTAAATGCAAATATGCAACACTTGTCCAAGGCTTTTGTTATAACTTTAGAACAATCGTTTAAAAATCTGCGTACATAGCAAATTGAAATTTCAAAATCGACATACGAATGATGATAGATGAGAGAGAGAGAGAGAGAGAGAGAGAGAGAGAGACAACAGAATTAGGCAAAATTGCTACATATTCAGTATGTTTCGTTCAATAACTATAAGCCATCCATAGTAGTAACGATACGGTATGTGGCACAATGGCTTATCGCATGGGTGTTAATATTCTATTCTGTGGAGATAGTCCTTAAAAGCTTAAAAATAAAAAAAAGCAGAAACTCCAATTGTTTTATAATCATTAGAAATTCCTTTTAAGATGGAATTTTTCTTCTTTTTTTTTCATATGTTTCTCACAGAAAAAGTGTTAGCAGTAGATTAATTGTGAGAAAGTAAAAAAAAAATTGTTTTCATTTCACTTTTTCACAGAGACTGATATCACACTTTTAATCATCACACATAATTGAAAAAAAAGAAAAGAAAGAAAATGCGAACGCTTTGCATTTGCCTTACGGCAACTCTTGTCCATTCACAGAACATTTTCTTTTTATTAAATTGTCCGCAGACCAACCACTATAGTAACATAATCCATTAAAGTTATCGTTCCCATCATAGAGTTATGTCCAGTAAACTAATTTCTGATTACTGTTAGAGATACACTGAAACTGCTGACGTCAAAGGGCGTATAGGGCAGCTTGTTCCTCTCGCATATGTGCTTATTTACTTAGCTAAGCCTTAATTTTGTTTCGAGAAATGAATGATATACGATCCGGAGATTGAAGTGCAAATCGATCCTATATTTGTTCCAAACACAGCTATGGACAAAGTAAAAATTATATGTAAAATAATGGCGATCCGAATACGTGTAGTGTGCTAATAGATACATTTGTTTATTTGTAAAATTTTTTAACTCGATAACGATATCGTATTCGATATTACTGTAACTCGATAACGATATCGTATTCGATATTA